GGAATGTGAATTTAATCCAAATATCTGTGACAGGTTCAGTCAGTACTATGCATTCACTCAGCATAATAATGCAGTCTTTTTCCGTGCAGGGCACGCTACAGTTTTTGAGCAGGACTGTGTAGTAATATTACAGGCAGTAGTGGCACACCACTGTACCAACACCCTCACTCTCACTAACATAGCTTACTTCTCATATCTTGCCCTACAGGTTCAGTTGCTGTACCTCTGACAAGGAGGTTATGTATTTAACTGCATTTGTTGGTTTGTTCACAGCACAACTCAAAAAGTAATGTACCAACTTTGATGATTTTTATTGTAGAGGTAGGGTTATGCCCACAGAACAATCCATGAAGTTTTAGTGCTGATTCGATCTCCATCTGAATCCAGGAATTTTAAAAATGAGATAGAGCTAATTTCATTATTTTTGCATCTAACTCATACATAATGCCAACAATGCTCGGTCAAAAATGCATGATACCATCCACAAACGATCTACCACACACCAACGTATGATCTGAATGGTAAATGGTCTTATATAGCGTCTTTATACACATTGAAGTGCACTGAATGTTCTTTGCACTATTTCCCATTCACAAACCAGTGATATCACTGGGAGCGACTTGGGGTTCAGTGCCTTGCCCAAGGACACACACACCATGTAAACTGGATGCATCCCTCTTTATATGTAGAGCCACTCTTCTGCCTGCACTATGCTCCAAACTGTGCCTACGAGCACTAGCATGCACCTGTATCCACTGTAACCTGCTGCTCAGTCAGCAGACTCCACTGAACCCTGGTTCTCCCAGGTACCTTGGTGAGGATCTATACACTAGATTACTCAGAGTTACTTATGGATCAGCTGAGATGAGTCCTCAGAGCATTCAAGACTGATGACTGTTGAAAGCTGAATCAAACTAGCCTGCTTAGGCTGGTCGAAACTCATTTAAATTTTGTGTAATGTCTTTAGTGTTTCAAAAGAAAAAACATTTAAATGACAAAATGTCACTGGGTACAGAAATTAGAGCAGTTTAGTTGAAAGGCAGTCAGGTTAAATTGCAACATTTAAGACTTTTCAAACAAGATGACATGCTTGTCAATGGATATTTATCCAACCTGCTATGTGTATTTCACAGGGCAACAATAAAGGTGAAATTAATCAATGTCAAAACACTTCAAGGTCTCTGAATTATAAAGCGTATCATCACTTCATCAAGCTACTTTAAAAATGGAAACCAATTAATTCAGCAGGCTGGCTTTGAAAATGATTATGTTTCCCTTAAACTATGATGTATCTAACAATTCTAAGACACAGCATCACACTGCTCCATTCTGCTCGGCTCTCTGACTATCTGCAGGTTTTTATCCTCATCTTTCTCCTTCTACCATTTCTCCCTCCCTCGCTTTCTCTCCTCCATGCTCTGCCTGTTGGAGCAGGGATCATCGATCGCCCCGTCACCGCACAGCTCTCTGGTACACTCTCATTATTTCAGCTAGAGAGGACAGAGGGAGAGCGAGTGAGAGAGCGAGACAGGCCGACAGAGCAGGAGGGAGGGAGGAAGGCTGAGAATGAAAAACAGAGAAGATAAAAGGAGGGTGAACAAAGAAGGGAGAAGAAGAGAAAAAAGGAAAGGAGTTGATAGACAGCAGCTGAAGAAAGGTGGCAGAGGAAGGGGGCTGAGAAGGAAAGGAGAGAAACAGGGTTTCCTCTGTGGCCTCACTGTGAAATTTCATGACTGTTCAGTGAAGGTTCACGACTAAATCAGAGTGCCTCCATAAACTCAAATTATTCTTGCTTCCTGATTTATTAAAGTGCTAATGTTATTAAATGTTAAACTGGGGTTAACATCAGACCAGATATGTTCATACAGTTTGTGGTTGAAACATATCTTGAGCACACTGACGTGCTTGCTTTTAACCGTGCATGACGGCTACTCCTGCGTATTGCGCATGTTTTGGAGCACTGGTTGTAAGCATAAGTGAGAATGTGCTTCTGCAAACTACACAAGAACGTGAATGGTGAGGGTAGTGTTGCATCGTATATCAATGAAAAACCACAACAACAATGGCAAATGGCATTTTTTCTGCTGTGAGGTGTTGTCTTGTTTAACTGTTTAAAATCAGAGGTTCTCAGAGGAGATATTCTGTCATCGGTGGGGGTGATTTGGCCTCGATCTGCCAAATAGTATCACAGTGGGCAATATAAATAAAATTTTCAACTTCAAAGGTGTCATTTTAGGAGTATCCCAGTGTGATCCTCCAGGGTGATACTGGCATCCTTACTGACCTGATTAAGTGGATCCCGTAATGAGCCATGACGGTCCATATTAAATACAGCGTCTGTCACTATGAAAATAAGCATATAAGCTAGCATTAATTAAATCTTTAAATTGTTGAATCTTTGACCTGAAATAATGCTGCTTTCCTCTGACCAATGAGTGCTCGCTCAGTCAAGTGCAGTTTTACATAGTGGTCCCCTCTAAATCACATTTGATTGGTTATAAATATGTCCTTGAGTGAAGGATGGGTCTTTGAAACTATTTGAAAGGAAGAGGAAAGACAAGGATTTTAATATAAAAGTTTGAATGACTTTTCTGACAACAGACGGACAACAATTAACACAGGTTTAGAAGAATGTTTGGTTTTCTCTGGGTCTTAAATATTTTTCTCAACAGGCATAGTCAGGTTTCCATTTTAACTGAGCTTCTGTCCAGAAGACCAACTGCAAAGTAACTCAATTTGCAAAATTTGATGATAGTCCCTAAATTATCCTTGACAGTGCCCCTGAGAATTGATTGGGTGCCCTAACATTCCTCAGACAGAACAGAAGTTCGGGGAACTACATGATCAGTAGGCAGCCTAGAGTAGAAATCTCCCCATCTGCAGCTACTGTTATGGTACGACAGCAAGTCTGAGCTCCGTGGATCCCTGGTTCCCAGCTTTATTAGTGCACTAACCAAATTAGGGGCCCTAACAAGGCAGTACACACAACACTAGGGGACACATTCATTTAGGACACAAGCGGCACTAATGCAAAGCTATCTGTCAAATTGCCATGCATTTATGCTTTCTCTAGACTCCGGAAGAAAGGCAGTGTGTGCGTGCGAGCAGATGTGCAGGACAAGGTGTGTGGGTGTGCTGTGAGCCAGCAGAACTGTTCCACCAGCGATTCTAATTGATGAGCCATACACATGCAGACACAGAAGCACAAATCTTCCTTCAAACAATGCACACTGGTACGTTTATGCACATGATGGTCCCTTATACATGCATACGCACACTAACGCAAACACCCACCCACACGCACACATTAATCTAGTCCAGGCCCTGGAGAGAGAGACACATCCATGCTGCAGCTGGACACGGCTTGAGATGAACACATCACCCTCTGACAGATCAAGGGAACATGAGAGAGGAGAGTGGAAAGAAAGGGAGGAGGAGGGAGGGAGAAGATTAGCATTCTCATCAGCACTGGAGGAATTTGTCTTGGCTGTCAAAGCACTTTCTCCTCTTTTTCATTCCCTGTCTCCTCATCAAGCCCATTCTCTTTCCTTATCCATATTTTCCCCCTTTCTCTCTCCAAATCTCTATCTTTCTAATCAGCAGAGCCCTTCACTGTTCCCTCTCTCTGTTCTCCGTCCATCTTCCCTTTCTCCTTATATTCTTTGCCAGCATATTACTTTCCACCTCTCTCCTTCTCCCTCGATTCAGGATTTAATAGCTCTGTTGTCCTGTGTCTGTGTCAAGGCACAGGATCAACAACCCACCCCTCCCTTGTCCTACTCAACCTCACAGTGGGGTTACTGCACAGGGGATGCACTCTCACACACAGACACACACACACACTGAATCGATCACAAGCAGAACAAATACACGTATAAGTTAGAGCCAGAGAGTGCACACACAAGTGATGTGTATGATAAAATCATTCATTTTTGAGTACTTTCTCACATTCATGTCAGACAGTTTCAGTTAAAATGTGGCACCATGGTCAGCCATATTCCTGGCCAGCAGAAGAATGCAATGTTTGTGTTTCAGAACTTCCAAGTGACTATACACCAGGGTTTTCCTGACCACTGAAAGGTTTATAGGCACAGCGCCTTTTTCTGTGGAGCGCCTTAAGCTGAATGAACTGGAAAAAGGTATTCAGACTACATATCATAATTAATGTAAAAGCAATGGCCAAGGTTCTATGCATTCACCAAAAAAAAAGGCAGATTAGTGGTTTAATCTTAAACGGAAATGTAAACTGCCTTCCAGTGAACAATCATTCATGTGACTGTTGTGCAACATCATCGCCAAGCTAATCAAACAGCTAATTGGATATTTCCCTGTAAAGAGTAAAAGAAAATGTTATTAATTTAACCTAAGTTACAACTAAGGACACTGCTACATAGATATTCATGTACTGAATTACGTTACATTAGCCAGAGAAGCTAGTTAGTTGACATTACATTCAGACAGCCTATCTTGACTGAGCTAATGTTCGTATCTGTGGCTCGGTGGCATTCACAAATAGCATTAACATCTTTTCTGATGAAAACCACTGGTCAACATGTTTTGTTAATTTTAAAAATTATGGCCTTAACTTAAATTATACCTTAACTCATACTAACCTAGAGTGAACACCCAGTTTTGATAGCGATCATCTTGGAAAGGGTGCATGATCAGCAATATTTAGACCACAGCCTCTATTCATACCGCTAAACAATCAAATGGTCACTGTACATCACAATGGTTCTGACACGTTTTGACAGGTCACTCCATCAAAGCAAACACTCTCTTTTCCTCCCTAGACATATATTCCCATTGTCATGGACAATCAAGGGTCTCGCGCTGTGTGCTCACCACCATACTGTATGTTAATGTTGCTAAGCAGTAGCTACTTTTCAGATATTCAAACTTGGTAGCTGCACCTGCATGCTGATATTTTGCCAAACAGACAGGCTCTCTGCGTCTCTGTCCGGTCAGGATATGAAGTTATTTGTTATTGTACAGTTTGGGAAATTTTAAAACATAAGTAGGTTAATTTGATTTTTTTGTCAACACTGACTGGTTGCTGCACTCACAAAGGTCAGCCCAACTGGGGTGACCACTGCGAGTACCTGCTAGCTAGCAGACTAATTAGCAGACATCTATGAGTTGGAGCAACCAATAGGCGTGCAGGACGCGCAACGCCGCACAACTTGTACATGAAATTTAGGAGGTGCACATGTCTGCAACCATCAGCAACACGCTTTTACCCATAAACCACTGATTAGGTACCTGTTGACACCTATGCGTAGTTGTGGACAAGTTAAGTTTTTAATTCAGAGGTGTCTCTATATTTTTGTCTTCCTCAGCTACATATATATGAGAGGGTCAGAATATTAGGAACACCTCTGAATAGAATGTAGTCCAGTAATGACACCACCTTTGACTATGACCTGAATGATAAACATATTATTGAATTTTTATATTTCGAACAATCTCACCAAAAACAGAAACATTTTGAGCTTCATATGTTAAGACGGCAATGTTACATTGTAGTGCATACAATTAAAGTGGCCGATGAGTTTATATTACTAATATCTACAGTACATGTCACATAAAATAGTCTCTACAGCTGAAATCATTCCCTAAATAAATTAACTACATTAACAGAGCAGGTCATTTAAAAAAAAATAAAAAAAAGAAGCAATTAAAGTGAACTAGTTCATTTCCGGGGTTGTGAACTTGGTCCAGAATTCAAAATTGTGAACTATGGATGTGAACGAGCTCATATTAATGTGTGTGAACTGAACTTTGAGCCAGCTCTTGTGAAGTGTGAACTTGCACAGCACTGCAGAACCCACCCACATGCCACTTCTTAATTCTAGCTGGAGTTTGTGTGTGTGTGTGTGTGTGTGTGTGTGTGTGTGTGTGTGTGTGTGTGTGAACTGGGTCCATGAACCACATTTGACTGGCTATTTTCTCCACTTAGCTATTGCTGCAGTAAATGCCTGTAATTATTGACAGCTGACTTAAATTTATACTTCAGTTATGCACTGCTGCACTAGTTTTCCTATTATTAGTGAAAGTGAGTGTGAGAGAGAGAGACACATGCACACAGGAGGGAGGGAGAGACCTCTGTTCAGGAGAACCAAGCTGTCGCTGCTGACAAAACTTTATATATTTTTAATAATCGCAAAATTTCTTGATTAAAAAAACAGAGGCCAATGACAGCAGCTGTGCTGTGAGATCGGCTATACTGACATTTAAAATGTGTGAGAGAAAGTTACCCCTCTCTGTCAATCTCTCAGTGCCAAGTTTTCACCCAGGCACACACACAGTGAAAAACATCTATTTAAAGGTATTATAATTAGAAGCAGAGAATTCTGTCCTCATGAAGACAACATGGAATGCAGAAATTAATAATAAAGACATAAATATATTGCTCCAGAGTCGTGATCTCAATTCTGAGTGAAAAAAAAAGTGATTCATATTTTACCCAGAATCGTGCAGCTCTAGTCCTGACAAACCTCTACAATCCAATGTTTACCTTGCATACATTTCCAACTGAGTGATGGTATTATATAAACAACAAACAGCTCCATCTGGACAACAACTGAAAACCTGTTAATTAATCGAAAAGTTATCATCATGATTTGAACCTTGATCAATCAAATGTAATCAATTGAGTGCATCCCCAGCTGACACACATTGACAGAACAAGAGACAGAGAGAGTGAGCCAAGTATGTGCATGCATTTATCCAAAGTGCAACTACAGATTTTTCAAAAGGTCAGATTACTCAGCTCAAATGAACACACGATGCATGCACACAGACAGATACACTTATATCCATTAGGTGTGTGACCTACCAGCCCTCTCTATGTGAATCCTTCAATGGCTGCATGAATTACTAATGACCCATCTACATTCTTCACTGCTCATGACTTCTAATGGAAACAACACACCCATGGAACCATGGGCCCACACACCACTCTATTACATCCTTCTCACATGCATGCACACCTGACACACACCATTGTCTCGAGCCTTTAAACAGATAATGGGCATTTTAATTAAAAAGTCAGTGGGCTGGAGACAGAATATACAGTGAAGAGCCGCTTCACCTTGCATTAGAAAGGACACAAATACATGCAAACAAATGTACATGCACACAATTCAGTCACATGGTCATAGGTCTATTTTTAGTTTTACTAAAAGCCATTATTGTGTATTTCTGCAGCCTCAGGTAAGACAGATCTGAACCATAAATGCAATGAAAATTTTGTTTGGCTGTCAGACAACTTTGGGACAACAGTTTGTGTTTGTCTGCTAAAGTGGATAGATGGGAGAACATCCCTGCAGTCCGGTTCTGAAACCCTTCCTGAAAGAGTGGAGCCATTTTCGAATAAAAAGTTTCAGGAAGCATGTAACCACAGGGACTAAACTGCCAAAGTTCCTTTTGCCTATTCCTGTTTGTGTTTCAGCTACATCTAAAGAACAGCGAACATCATGCAAATTAAACGAAAAGCAGGAGGTATGATTACAGTGGCCAACAACAGAAAAAGTAACCGCAATGAAGCTACTGTTAAATAAAATTTTATTCCTATCCACATGCTCCCACTTTCTCTGCTTTCAGCTTGTTCACACACTTGATCTGTCTTCAAACTACAGTAGCTGGGAAACCGACAACTTGACTTATTTTCTTAGCCTAAGAAAACAACAAGAAATGTCTCTCCCGCAACTTGTCCCTTGCAATGCTCAACACTCCAAACACCACCCTGAGCGGTCCTGAACCATCTGACTTCACTACCTGTGGAGCATGGGCTTTTCCCCACTAACAACTATCACAACCTGTCTGTGCAGATTCTCAGATACTGGGATATAACGACTCAGTTGTTAGGGGACATTGTTGGCCCTCAAAGGACTCAAACACCACCGAGGGGGATAAATATCTCCGGCTCAACACCAGTCAGTCAGAACTTACGAAGCCTCTTGGATGAGAGGTGAAACGTCTTCGACCTAGAAACCTAGTCCAGTTGATCTTTTCTACTTTTTTTCAGCTAACTATCATAACCCTGTTTCCAACAGAGAAACTTTTCCCTGTAGAGGAGGAACCTTGTTTGGAACATTTTTCACTGGAGGATCCAGGTTCTAAATTTAATTCCAGGGCGTAGTTCTCCCCAGGAAAAAAGTAACTAGTCAAGGGTCAAAGAACTATTGGGGTGAGGTCTGCAGTGCCACTTGGTCACTGACTGGTTAAATACAGGGCTCTACCCTGCGAGCATTTCACTGCATGCAAGTAAAAATCAGCGTGCCAATGTGAAAATGATTTGGGTACGCTGATTCAACTGACTCAGAGTTCTCTGGGTTCTCAGTGTGTAAGGAGCATTTTATTAGTAGGCCTACACCAAGAGACCAGTGAGTGAGATTAGTGGATTGGAAAATATGATTTTGGTGTTTGTGGAGCAGCTTTTCCTGATATTTGACCTGTGAATGGAGCTCAGCTCCTCCACACATGGAGCTCAGCAGGCGAAGGCCGTGGAGGAGAGCATGACATCAGCTGAAGTGAAACATTACTCCGAGTTAACAATCCCTATGCTCGTTGCTGTATGTGCAATGAAACCTCGGCGAGTAAAAGAAACAAAACAAAAACAAACAAACTTGCAGAAAAGTGATAATTTCAGCTCTGCCTGCAGTTTGCTCTCCACCGCTGGTATGTGTTAACCACAGTGAGCATTTTACATGCAGCCTAACCCCACCGCCGACCGTTGTACTTGTATGTTAGCGGGCTAATTTGTTTAATCTTCCCTGGGCTTTGGCCCTGCTGTGGAAATGCACATCACAATGGACTCAAGGTACTTTTACACCAGGGACAGTTCTTGGACTTTAGCTCCTCGGAATAAAAAGCACTGGCGACTTTCTGGTGGAAGAGCAGCGATAGTTCTTCAAAGGGTTCTTGGTCCCCTGGGAAAGTTTCTGTGGTAGAAATAACTAGTAGCAGCATTCCATGGTTTTGTGTTCAGCTATAACATTTGCGTATATAATGTTCCACGGACCACATACTGTACATTAGGCCATTTATTGTGTAAGAAACAGTGAATACCACTGTCAGAACTACTTCAGTGAAGAAATACAGCACTGTTAGTACGACAGTGGGGGAACCCTGATTGTATGTTTGTGTCTGTGTAAGTGTGTGACTGTGCAAGACAGAATGAATAGTGGACACTGCTGTTGTCACAAAGAGAGAATGTGTGTGTCTGATAACACCAAGACGATATGGTGGTTATCAAATAATGAGTTAGTTATTGTGTGATGTGGTGTGTATGTACTGTGGTTTACAGTGTGTGTCTCTTACCGTGGCCTGTGTGGAGCTCTCCTGCAGATCCCAGAGTAGTGCGTGGTTATCAGCCAATGAAATCACACGCTTGCCATCCCCCATGGGCTCCCACAGGACACTGTCAATACACACAAACACACACTCAAAACCACGAAATTGGAGTCAATTAGAATACAGATATTGGTCAAACTAGCATACAGGTTTATCCACAAGTGCTACAGACATAGGGGAATGAAGAGTGTTGGTCAGATTTCACATGGCTGCTGATTCCAAATACATTACTGTGGTTGCTACGCAGTCCTTTCACATTTAGGAAGGCTCAGTAAACCAGACACAGGAGGAGTCAGTGTCATCACCAGCCAGAGGAAAGGGTTTACTTGTGTGTGCAGTTTGTCATGTTACTTTCTGCATAATAAAGTCCTTTCAAAAAGTGTGACATTGCAAAGAGCGGGTTTAATTTGCCCAAATTAGGCTGCAGCACCATTAATTGCCCAAGAAAGTGACAATAGCATAAAACTAACTACTTATTGGCAAATCCAGCAGCCCAATTCTGTCAATCTAGTGTTCAAACACAGCAGTGGGATACAGGGTTGCCTCACTGGTGTTAAAAAAGTGGTAGCTTTTACTGCATACTTAGCTTTGATTCCTCCCTGCATACCACTTTCTGCAGAGTATTGATTCCTCACTGCATGGTTCTCGGAGTTGTGATTCTCCACTTTGCTCTACTTAAAGTATGTGTTCTGTGCCCCAGCCTTAGGGACCTAACCAGAGCTGACATGCTAGAGTGCAAACAGATGCTTTATAACTCCCTTGGTGTTGATTGGATCACTTGCTTTTGTTGTTCTCAATCTGGGTAGATGCAGCAGCCAAATCTAGGCAGAGACACAACTACATGGTAAAAGAAAGAGGACACAACCCAAGTGAGAAAACCGTGCTGTTAACTCTGGGCCCATTGACATTAAAAGCAACACGTCAGTGTGGTCACAGACCAATAAGCTAAACATAACCTTGCCCTTGAAATGTTGCTACATACTTGTTAATGTTTTTGATTTAGTGTATTTTTTTCTTAAGTGTCTATTTTGGGTTAAAGGATGTAAAATGTCAGAGAGGCACAGGTGTGGGCATGTGAAGGTTTGGATGTCCTGAGCCTGTCAGCGCTAAAGCTGCTTGTCATTAGAAGTTTACGGAATGATGCTATTTATTTAAAGAGTTCATCAATTAGACGACTCCATTTTCATGGACTCATTAGTCAGCTTGAAGTGGCAGCAGCAACAATGGCAGTGTTTAAGAGTGTGTGCTATGGAAGGTGAGAGTGTTAGCGAGAGATAAAAGAAATGGAAGGGGGGGGAAGAGAAAGTTAAAGTTTGTTTTTGGATTTAATCAAAGTTTCAAATATGCGCAGTCCTATTAGGAAGTTGGAGTCGGGAGAGAGGGAGGGAGGGCATTAGGGAGGGAGGCAGAGGAGCAGTGTTTATGGGGGCTGTAAATTCATGGTTGCTGAGGGACAGCTTTTACTGCCCTCGTGAGGAGCACAAAGTCATGGGATGTACAGACACACACAAACACACGCACTACACAGAGGTTTTTGGCATTTAGGAGGACTGTCGCTTACATTGTTGCCTGTGGACCAAAAGATTTGGGTTTTTCCAAATCTGTCCTAATACAGTACTTGAATGACCATATGTATGATAAAAGAGTTATTCATTGCTGTAATCATCCCTCCTGTGTGTACTAGCTGTAAAGCATTCCCTTATTTAATTGCATTTTTTTTCCAGCTAATTTGCTCTAACCTATGTAAAATTTGTCAATAATTTTAAAACATAATCATGACATTCAAAAGTAGAATGTTCACAGACATTAAGCATGAGTAGAAGTAAATCACTGCCACGTTAGTCTCCGTATGGGGAGTGTTGAAACTACTGTTAATATAGAAAATGACCGACCTTATCCTTTAAGTGCTGCAGCTAGTATAACAGAGTGACAGGACAACCCTGATTCAGAGCTTTTAACATGATGACAATTAAAATGACAATGTCTTATGCTTGAAAGAAGATTCCAACAGTTCACCACAAAGTGATGGCTTCATGGCCAGCATGAACAGGAGGAACAATGACAGTGGCCGATGACTCTGAACTGACATGTGAGTACTGTATTTCAATACACTTTAAAAAAAAATGTCTATCTAGACATTAAAACTAGCCACTGCATGCCTAACCCAAACCCTAATACCTAACCTTAACCAGTTATTTCTCACAAGCATGGCCCTGCTCCCGGGTCTGCGTAGATTCTGTTCTTACCTAAGAACAAATCCCAGATAAGAAAACACTGGTGATACCAGAATCTTTGCGAAAACTTTGTAGGTGGGTTTTAAGAAGAAATTTGTTCTTAAGATATCAAAAACATTCCAAATGCTGATTAAAACACATAAATAAGACTTACATTATAATACAGTGCCTAAAACAGCTTGCAGTGGTGATGGTTGGCAAAAATGTCCTCCCCTGAACAACTAATTCAAAACGATTCTCACAAACTGAAACACATACATGCAGTGCCCTTGATGCCCTGCATCAACGCTGAAATCTCATCCAGAAGGAGGAAAGACACACACGCTGTGTTTGTATTAGCTGTTGGCTTTGCATATGAGGGGCTGGGATTAAACTCATATGGATGCAAAGCACAGCAAAGCGGGGGGAACAATCTAATGAGTGAGAGACATGGAGAGAAGTGCATCTGTGCTGCAGATCTAGTAGATATATGGGGCTGTAAAACCTCCATAGCGCTCCCAACAGTATTTACATACCATTCCAGTAGCCAGTGTGCCAGCTTGTTGCAGAGCTCAAGGTCAAATGCACATAACTTATTTACTTTAATAGGAGAGGAAGCCAACATGAGATACTGTACACCTTACTGTCTCTCCCTCTGCTGTATGAATTAATTGATACTATAGGGAAGCATACAATGTGTAAATCCCACAGTGGTGAGTATATTTTAATTGGTCCTGTGGTGTGCTGATGTATGTGTGTGGGATGTGTGTGTGTGTATATGTGTGTGAAGGAGGTAGTATCTGACACACTGCAGTCTTCAGCTTTAAGGTCTGTGTGCTATACTGAGATTCCTCATTAGCTTGTATGTGAACTCATATTAATCACAGCCTGGGGACATACTGTATATCTGTGCACACAAACACAATATCAGGACTCACCTTCCACTTGGGGACAAAAGCTGTTCCTCAGAAGGTAAACCTTTACATATTAGGGCTGGTTTTTGCATAAAAACCAAACAGGTTGAAGTGCATATCTTTACTTTTTATCTCTATGAATTTCTCTAAATGTCTCCGATACTGTGGCCAGTGAGACTGTCTGTGTAAGCTTTTGGTTGTCCAGCACTGCATCTGAGATCAGATGTGGGGCGGTTGGACAGGACCTGAGTGCACAAATGGAGGTACGCTCAGCTGAGGGTACACCTGAGAGGGCTGTGTATGTGCCTGATGTACTGGTCGGCTCTGAGATAGTCTGTCCTCCACTGGTCAGATTCTCTCTTCTGTTTTTTGTTTTATCTCAGATATGAGATCAAACCATCTGTTTACTTCATCAGTTGTTCACCATTCTCCTCATACAGTGTTTACTGAATGAGTAAGAGCATCCATCACATATTTTTTTTAATTTTCTATTCACTACTGATGCTACTAAATAGTCTATGACAACTTTCTGATGTTCTTCACTTCATAACTACAGGAGTTTTTCTTTGGTTTAGGGTTCATTGCTCCACAGTCTTTAGATTTTCATTTTAGCATTCTGACTTTCTCAACTTTTCTTTTCAGTTTCTGTTTGAGACTCCTGTGTGCACACGGCTCTGCAGTCTCGTGCCCTTTTATGGGCTTTGGTGGCACTAATCTGTGCTAATTAAGGATGACTGGCACGTGCTTTCAACTTACAAATACACAGGATTCATCAATGCAAGAGCACAATTGTGAACAAATCTGCGGTTTAAGAACACGTTTAAGTGCACCCAAAATGCCAGTACCTCCAAAGGAAAACTCCACAAACAATGCTAAGTAGATTAAGTCAAAGTTTGATGTAGCCATGTTATCATTTTACATGATCTCAGCAATGAACCTGATGAGTAGAAGTGTTTCTAGATTTAGGTTCAAATCACAGGTTACATTTTGGCTCATCAAAGTCTGTATTTTTTCCTTATCTTAATCAGAGCCTAAACCTATTGTGATTGATCATTTTCAGGAGAATCTCCCAGTCGTATATTTTAAACTTATCAGCGTAATCATTTTGAATGGGGATACTCATTATTTGGAACCAGTAGGTCATGAAGAAGTCATGTGTGCAAAGTAAGAAGGGTACAGCTGATAGTGTGTCAGGGACATATTTAATCAACCTTTAATATCTCCTGCTACTCATCTCATTTTCAGTTTGTAGCTACAGGCTAAGAACATTAATCAAGCTGTCACTCAAAACTGTTTCTGCCCTTTTCAAAACATCAACATTTCATGAGTTAATAAAATATATTTCCAGCTTTCTTGCAGTGAAATTTGAGATAATCCAGTGGCATTTAAACTGGTTTATTTCACTTAAGAAGTATCATAATTCTAAACCTATAACAAGATGTCCTTGAGTTAAAATGTGGTTTAAAAGAGTGCATCGCAAAGGACCTGTAATCAACTGACAGTCTTCATCACAAACAGGCTAATAATCTGCATGGGGACCCACTACTGGGGTCCAGTTGATTGGGACTGGAGGACCATCACAGTGAAAATCACACTTAGACACTGGATGACACAATACTCACTATTACATGACCAGGCACATATAAAGAAAAAAGTAGAGACACAGGATAAAACATGTAACTACGACATAGTTGCATGCTCTGGTTTGGCCACTCCTGGGCAGCAAAAAGACGTTAATAATAAGCATTTCTTCAAACATTAATGCACAAGTGCAAATCATTAATGTGTAAATCATCTGTGTCCTGTATGACATTGAAAACAACACAGCAGCACATTATTAGATGTGACATCTCATCAGTTTTATTCTTTGTTCAAAATAAACACATTCCAAATAAAGTTGGATGGTCGCATTTCAGGGCCAGTAATGAGGTAAAACAGTGAAATGATGATTCCATATGAAACAGATGATGCCAACAGGCGACTGCATCATGATCTGGTACAAACATGGCATCCAGGAAAGGCCGAGCCCTTTAGGAGCAAAGATGGGCCGAGGACCACCAGTTTGCCAACATATGTGTGAGAAAATTATTGAAATGTTTAAAAACAATGTTCCTCAATGAAAGATTGGAAGGGATTTGGATATGTCACCTTCTACGGTTCAGAACATCGTTAAAAGATTTAAGGAATCTGGAGGGATTTCAGTACAAGGGCCAAGCCTAAGCTGGATGACCAAGCTCTCTGATCCCTCAGACGTCACTGCATCAAGAATCATCTCTCTTATATAAGTGATATAACCACATGGGCTCAGGATGACTTTGGCACATCTGTGTCAGACACTACAATACGTAGTTACATCCATAAATGCTGCTTAAAACTGTACTGTGCCAAAAGGAAGCCCTATGTCAACAGTGTCCAGAAGTCCCAGCAACAAGTCCAAAAGCCAGAGTCTGTCATGGTTTGGGGTTGTGTCAGTGCCCTTGGTAAAGGTCACTTACACTTCTGTGATGGAACCATTAATTCTGAAAAGTACATAGAGATGTTGGAGCAACATATGCTGCCTTCAAGACGACATCCTTTCCAGGGATGCCCAAGCATATTTCAACAAGACAATGTTACCAAGGCCTGGCTGTGGAGGAAAAGGTGTTGGACTGGCCTGCCTGCAGTCCCGACCTGTCCCCAGTAGAGAAGCTGAGGCACATTTTGAAACACAAACTGCGTCAACAACGACCCAAGACTGTTGTGCACCTTAAGACTTGTTTACAAATGACTCCTGACACACTGAATCACTTGGTGTCCTCAGTCCCTAAACATCTGTGTTTTGAAAGAAACAGCAACATCACACCATGGTAAACGCTTTACTGTCCCAACTTTATTTGGAATGTGTTGCATCAGAATTGAAATGAGTGTTTATTTTGAAAAAAGAATAAAATTGATGAGGTTTCAAATCAAACAATGTTCTGCTATGTTGTTTTTATGTAATGCAGGACACAGATGATTTACACATCACTAGTTATAGTTTTATTTTTAATTTTACATACTGTCCCAATTTTTTTTGATTCGGGGTTGTAGACCCTGTACAGCACAATTACTGTTCAATTTCTTCTACATTTTTAAGTTGAAATAAAAAGTAACAATGCCTTAACATTTGTGTAAAGTTAATTTTTAATGCCTGTTTGCATCAGGAGTGGTATTTACTTTTTTCCACTTCAAAAATGAACAATATGTGTTTTACACAGGGGTGTCAAACTTTTGCATACAACTATATACAGCCAGGATTCGGAGTGAAAGACTGAAAAGACTAAAAGCCTTTCACTTGAAATGATCACACACAATACAGAGGTTTGCATTCATGCATGTGTGCACAAACACACACACAATCACACCCACACATACCTCCTACCCCCTCCAGTCACACCCCACTTTAGAAAATCAACCCCACTGCCTTTGCGCTTTACCATTCCCTCCTAGGGCCCTGATTGGCTCAAATGGCTCCACAGGAATCGATTCACTCAAATGGCATGGCTTCTAATCGAAATATTGTGCAAAAGGAAAAAAGAAGGGGGGGGGGGGCCAGGGGCAAAAACAAATAAGCACATAAAAAAAAAAAAATCCTTGCTTTGTTTAGCCCTCCCTTTTTTGGTGTATTTTACTGATATTTTCCATTCAAAACACACTTCTCAACAGGGCAGAGGCTCAGATGTTTGCCCACCCAAACAATGAGGGGATTTGGCGGAAGCAGAAAGTGCTATTGTTAGTGGGAGTGGAGGGACACCAGCAACCAGAAAACACACTGGACAGAGGATACAATCACACATATGCAGGTGAACAAAGACACACATGAAACAGACAAAAGGCTTATAAGAATACAAACTCCAGTTTCTTTACTCTTTGTCTGCCTCTACGCACAGACCTGCACACATACACAGACTGCTGCAAGGTGTGTGGGGGGGGGGGGGATACGTGTGTGTATGTCATAGTGAGATGGAGGTGGGCAGCAGACCAAAGCCATCCATCTAAGAAAGCCAATAGTGCACAGCGTCGGCTAGAGGCTTCACAGCGCCCAATGCACACTCCCACCAACAACACACACATATACACACTGTGTGGTGCCCTTGTGAGGGTTACAGCTCTCAGGGTGTTAAGATGGTGGAGCCCAGAGCCATCAATCTTTATCCAGCAGCCTTGCTTGACCTGCCCTCTAACATACACACACACACACACACACAGACAGTACACATACATGGTGCACCCCCACACACACAAAGCCCCCCTGTTGCCACACACACAAGCACAAAACACACACCAAGTTGCACAAATTCTTATCTTTCTTCTCTCTCATGCTCTTCTCTGCAGGCTTCTCTCCACCTTTCTCCCTCCATCTTCCTCACTCCCTCTCCATCTTTATCTCTCCCTCGCAGACACCTGCTACAGTATGCATCATGCTAACTGATTGGCACTTCTAAAAATGATGGCAATCATGAGGCAGCTGATGAACAGTGCACTAAAAGGGGAATGACCATTGATTTTCATTCTCATAAGCAGTGACTTATGGTGAGGCTTTGTGTGCAGGAGCTCCAAATGTAAGACAAAAGGACTGGGCCGTGACTTCAGTCTGAGATGTGGGCCAGTCAATAGTCTGAGCCAAAAAACACGAGAGGAGAGCCTGATTCAAGCTGCCGAGAATCCTATGGTGTGGAGAGTGTGCGATATTTTAATTTCAGTAGGCCTACAACATGTCCATCTGTCCCCTAGTTTGATTTCAGAGCTCACTCTAATTCCTAACAGTTTCCTATTTAGAGTTTTAATGTCTAATCTTATCATAAAAAAAAAAACCTATCGTGCCTAAAACTGCCTGTAGGTTGTTTGGGCAAATCAACTCTGCCAAGGAATAAAATAAGTATGTACATGCACAATATTAAACAGTACAAGCAAAACTTATGCAAGGTCATATTAAAAGGATGGGATCAAATCTGTCTTGAAACAGTACTCACATGCCCATATGTATAATGAAACAGTTGCTGGTCGCTGTACTCATTCCTCCTGTTTACAGTTCGATGAACACTTTCCAAACGCAATTCAAGTAAGTGAAAGGGACAAAACTAGATACACTGATAGACTTCACAAAATTCTGAACTTATACAAAAAGGTGCAAAGAAATTCTATATCCAAGGATTTACACTGTATTAATTCACTTTGTTATATTTCTATGGTCAGCACAAAAGTAAAATAAAACAAAATCCAACAGAAGAGAAATACACTGAACTGCTCACAACACTATGCGCTATGTGATCAGGGGTCACGAAGTTAGAGGTAAAAAAAAAAAAAGTTGGAAATCTACCTTCTTCTACCTATCACTCAGTTATATTCAGAGTTACTGGCTTTCTTAAGGGGAATTCATGTTTTGGGGGTCAGTGACATGGAAGAATACATGAATAATTTGTTTACAGTTGGGTGATAAAGTCAGATAGTGTGATATCAATACATAACAGTAAATGAGGGGATCAGTGTTGGTGCTTTAGCTGAGCATAAAAGTCTGTTTTAAACACAGAAGAAGGTTTGACCAAATCATTTTAACTCAAAGTCAGTCATGAGCTTTGTTTCACCTAAAAGTAAATACCAATAATGAAGACTGGGAGATGTAGGACAGTAGGAAGTTCCAGAAAAAAACTAACAAAATAAAAAACAGATACGTGAACCTTGAGTTCTGAATTATTTTGTAAAATGTTGAAAATAATTTCCAATATGAATATAATAACCAAACGTGGTTCTTTTTGTTGAGCTAGAGCCACCACCAAAAGGCCATATCATTTAAATGCAACAGAGTCTTAAAGACCTGAAAGACAGTCAAGATATAGATTGATATTCTGATAGGAATATCAATACTTTATTGATCTGCTGCCCGTCTTCATCACTCAAGATGCATTATACTGTATATTGATAAATCATAAAGATCAATAATGATCACATAAATGATGTCAATGGTAACAGTTAGGCCATATTTATATTAATTACATTATCACCAGAAGGTATGACTGTCCCAATAAGGCCTTTCCAGGTGTCTTGGGCCTCTGTTTGTAGTTTATTTGGATCATCATGAGTTATTAAGCATCCTGTAGTCTGCAGAGAATCAACAGTATCCCTTCCTGCAATTTACACACAGGAGCTAAACACATAACTACACACTATTGTGGGTAAAAAAAAAAAAAAAATTGCACTTGGGTCACTTGTATGTAACTCTTACAGTTGTTTGCCCACATGCTACTGTTCCCCAGCAACACCTACCAGGTAGTGTTGCCATGGGTGCTGTCGTCTAGGTGACAGAGCAGCTCTAGGGTTTGGGGGTTGTGGGTGGAGTCATCAGGTGACTCATGGCTCCCTGTCTCCCAATCAGAAGGCATCCGCCATACTGCTGCACAGGACACCACCCTGCTGTCACTGGCTGTAAAGGGATAACACACACATATAGATATCCATTCACAAGTTGTTAGGGCACTGTATGTGTATGTGTGTGTGTGTGTGTGTGTGTGTGTGTGTGTGTGAGAGGGAGATGGACTGGGGCCAATGTGGTGGCATGGATACACTTTCCTTCGAATACACATCACAAATGAGTTATTTTGCCACTTCCACACCAGAGCCTGAGCTGCTAATTGGAACCGGTGGAGTAAATGTAGAGCTGATACAGTAATTGGACTAAAAATTTGAGGCTGGAGGGCATAACCAATCACACAGAGAGAGGGGAAGAAAACAGAGGGAGCAAAAGAGCCTGATTTCTTTTTGGTGTAGATATTGACAGTGTGTGGGCAGGCGTTCAGCTATGAAACACTGGCGTTAGGCCTATTTGTCAAATTAAAAAGCAACATGGTGCCAGTCCACAGGCTCCTGAGTGGTTTTAGACACCCTTGCACTTGGAATAAGTGGACAAGTAATCATCTTGAACAAAAGCCTTTGCCAACCCACACATGCCGGCAGGAGGCTGTATGGAAACACTATATGAAAGCACTTGTGTATGTGTGCGTATGTATGTATGTATACACACAGTATATTTATAAAACATATGTATATACAGTATGCGTGTACTGTTTGAGCCTATCATCCTGTGAACTCAAGCATGTGAAATTCTGCCTGACAGAGAGCAAGAAAGGGAGGATGGGAGAAGAAAGAATAAGTGAGAGAAGAGGGTGGTGGAGGTCAGGTGAGGGGGTTCAGAGACAGTGTCTACACCCTGTCCCAGAAGAATGTAGTAGCCCTAAAGGCCACGAGGGCACCCTGCCACCTCACATGGTTGTTTGCTCCTGTGTGTTGCAACCTTAGACACACACACACACACACACACACACACACACACACACACACAAAAAGCTTTTATACTTGTGAGCAGTGGTGGAAAGTAACTAAAGTATATTTACTCAAGTACTGTACTTAAATACAATTTTGCAGTATCAGTACTTCAGTATTTTTATTTTCTGTTCATCCTTTGACTTCACTACTTTTTAGAGGCAAATATTGTACTTTTTAAATCAACTACATTTATTTTATAACTTTAGGAAAGTAACTAAAGTATATTTACTCAAGTACTGTACTTAAATACAATTTTGCAGTATCAGTACTTCAGTATTTTTATTTTCTGTTCATCCTTTGACTTCACTACTTTTTAGAGGCAAATATTGTACTTTTTAAATCAACTACATTTATTTTATAACTTTAGTTACTTTTCAGAACCAGATTAATACAGAAAATACAATATAATGATAAGACCTCTGATCTATGGTGTGAAAATTCACAAGATACCCAGCAGTAATTCACATTAGAAGCATATAAGCTGGTTAAAACTAGCTCCCCCTTTATAAGCTGCAACATTAAATGTGATGTACGCAGTAATAGGCAATGCAATGCAATTCTAATACAATAATATGATACACAGAAATGTTAAATGTGCCATTCTGCATGAGTACCTTTACTTTTAGCACTGTTAGAAGCATATAAGCTGGTTACTTTTGTATGTATACTTAACATTTTGAATGAAGGACTTTTACATGTAACACAGTATTTTTACACTGTGGAACTGCTACTTTACTTAAGTAAAGGATCTGAGTACTTCTTCCACCACTGCTTGTGAGGAACCTCATTAACATAATGCAGTACATAGCCCTATCCCTAACTTTCATCTAATTTTTAATGTAACCCTAAAACTAATTCTTAATATTTCGACAGCCATTTGAATGGCTGCATTCCCCTTATGGGCCTTAACACTCAATTAAAACATTTTTTCTCCCCCATTGCTTTTGTGTTGATGCTTCACTTTCATGTTTGTAAGTGACATGAATCCAGCTCCAATGTGAACACTGCTGAGTGCCTACACAGTCACGCATGAGCATATGAAATGCGCCATAATAACCTCTTTATACTTGAGCTCACTGAAATGGTAAACAGTCTTATACTTGTACAGCGCTTTTCTATGCAATGCAGCACACTCAAAGCGCTTTCACACTATTTGGCCATTCACCCATTCGCACTCCCAAGCACTCACACATTCATACACCGGGAGCAATTGGGGATTCAGTGTCTTGCTCAAGGACACTTCAACACGTGGACTGGACAAGCTGGAATCAAACCACTAATCTTCCGGTTAGGAGACGACCGGCTCTACCTCCAGAGCCACAGCCGCCCCAGATGTGAGCCACATGTGTACAAGAATAGCAAAGCCATTTGTGTGAGGGTCAAATTAGAAAATTTCCTCAAAAACTGCTTTGCCACAGTTTGGCTTGGATCAGGAGCTTCTCCATAAATGTCCAAGAAAATGTGAAACATCTTTGTCTCTCCACTGACCTCTATCACTGTTGCTGCTCTGAGGGGCCGACACGGAATGATGACAAAGGTTATACATACACGTGTAGAGGATTGAGACACTTGATACAAAAAAATTATATGATTTCTGATCTGAATGTTTGGACAGTGCTTGCATAGTCAGAGATCAGATATGAATCTGATCCAGCAGCACATATGCAAGTGGCCCAGACCTGATTTGAAAAAAAATCTGATTTGATCTGCTCACACTTACTGTATGTGAGGAAATAAAAAAGTCTGATCTCAGTCACTTGAAAAAAATAAAAAATAATAATACATGACAGCTGGGGCCTAACAAGAAACAGCAGCATAGCGAATGCTAAAGACATGTTTAATGTAATAATTGTAAAAACTAAAAACTGTACATTATATTCATATTAAACAAACAGAGGTGTCTATATTTTTGTCCTCAGCTACATACGAGAGGTTCAAAATATTAAGAGCACCTCTGAATATAATGTAGTAGAGTACACCACCTTTAACTCTGACCTCAATAATAAATATAGAATTGAATTTATACATTTAAGACACTTTCACCAAAAATTGAAAAAGATTCTGAGCTTCATAAACACAAATGTTAAGGCGGAAGTGTTGCACTGAATTGCATACAATTGTACAGGGACAGGTACCTAAGTAGCCAGTGAGTATATTTTCCATTAGCGGTGTAAGCCTGTTTTAACTGAAGTTTGTGGGGGGTAAAAAAAACAAACAAACATGATTATTAGTCCTCTGGTTCCAACCACTGGCTCACTGATAAAGTATAAAATACAGTATGTTAGCAATCTTCCTGTATGACTGGATGTAAGGATGATATGCATTAATGTCAACAAACTGTCTATGGCCGTTTTATTTGCCTGGGACTGTTCTGTTGAAGCAGATTCTGTATGTTGCATCAAACACAAGAAAGAAAAAAAAAACATGTAGATGATGTGCATGTGGTCTTCAAAGATTTTTTCCTGCTAGTGATTTTGCAGCTGCTGTTACTGTCCCTCATGTTCACACATTGGTATTGATTCTATCACAGCCTGAGCATGACTTCTAACACAGCTGCTGTCTTGTCAGACCTGTAAAGACAAATTAGCTCTTATTGATGACCTGTTAAAGACTGATTACATGTTACGATTCTCAGCTAAACTGCACAAGATGGAAGACATACAAATAAAGAAAAGTTCATGAATATGCAAAAAAGGAAAGAAAAACAGAAGGAAAACAAGAAAAGGAGAAACAGGATACACAAAGAGGTAGCAAATGAAGCCAGATGCAGACAGAAACAGTAGGACTCACTTTTGTTATAGCAGGTGCTAAGCACTGCCTTATCTGCAGGACTAGCTCCAATGTGCCATATCTCTCCAACTTGGTGCAGAAGGACATTCTTAGAAATGATGTTATTCTCATCATCAAAGTCAATGATGTGGATCTGGAAGAAAAGCAGAGAGAGGTGAGATGTATTGAGCACGAAGCTGGAGTTTTCCTGCACCTCAGTCTACACACACACACACACACACACACACCTCGGTTTCATCTGAAAAAGAAGAAAGTTCCTCTTTTAATATGACAGCAAATGTAATTTCAAGGTAGGCATTCCCAAAAAGGAAATCAATGAAAACTCAAACCATATTTATTCTCGACAAACAACCCTGCTAGAAGGGCTGAAGAAAGGTGCTTTATACATGAGAGCTTCTCTGCGAAAGGCCTTTAACTGTTTAAAGACATTTCTTGTAAGCAAACCTGATGACAGCTGAGCTACACTGTAGCTAAGCATACCCTAATTACACATCTCATTTTGATCAGCGTAGTCCATCAAGTACCCTATGGCACCCAAAAGCAGGGCAGCAACAATATAAAAAAAATTCCCACCAGTATTTTTAGGAGAATGTAATATTGTCTGCAGTACTAATTAACCTTTCAAAGGCAGGAAACAATTACCTAGTGAGACTGTCTTCACCACGATGTTAACAGTGCAGCAGGTGGAAAAAGCAACAGTGATCATGCAGAAAACATAAATCTCATCTTGCGAGCACTGAAGTTACTCTCACTAGAGAGCAGTGCCCCTGACTGTCCACAGTGGATGTGTGGATTAATCTGGAAGCTAAAGAGGGGAAGTGATTGGCCTATCTTAGCAAAGATTAGCAGCAGAGGAAACCATCTGGCCTGGCTGCACCTAAAGGGAAAAAAATCTCATACAACTCCAAGAGAGAGGAGAATGTTCAACTATTTCTTTAGGAGCAGATTTTAAAGTCACCAGTTATCAATCCTCAATACTTTGTTGGAATCAATCAAAACGTGTGTGTGTAGTAGTGAAAATCATCAAGTGCTGATAGCTGGCATCAAAATTCATACTGATCTTTATTTCTCGATCACATAGTGTCTAATCTAAATATTTTCAACCTCAAAGTACGGTTTCATAAAGGCTTCATTTCTGTATTATCCTCAGTCAGTATAGAACGGTATCACTGATATACACCTTAGCTTAATTACTACTGGTTTTGAAGCTTACTGATTTGTTTTTTTTCATATTTTCAAGATTCTTCATGATTAAAACATGACAAAAGATAAATACCAAGAACTTGTTAACAGTTACACCTAATCCACTATATTACCCTTAACCATAAACTCTAATGCTGGAGTCTGGCTCCGTGACCTGATATAATACTGAACTGTTGGCTGGACTTGAAAACACAATCGGCAGCTATGCAGTCATTGAAGCTCAAAAGTTAAACAAACTAAAAACTTTTATCCATAGGAAGTTAATCTACACTCCTCCTTACTGAGCTCTTTTCATTAGATGGAAATCTGTTCTACGAAAGCCCACAATGCAGTAAAACAGTGAGGGTCTCAGGGTTTGATCAGACAATTAATGGTGGTTTTTCCTATAAGAGCGACAGTTATAGCACCTTTGGGGATCATTAATGGGGCTGCACTGGACAATAACTCCTGCCAGGCACTTGCCTGTACTACTTTTGCAGGCTGAACAAGAGGAGGAACGGAGCGGGGTGTGAGGAGGAGGAGGACGAGAAGAGTATTGGAGCGGCAGTATCTTTCAGCCTCCTCAAAGTCAGCTAGGTGGCTATTAACCTTGGGTTGGACTGCATCAAGCAAAAAAATTATTAGGCAAAGTTATAATTTTATAGTGGCGGAGGGAGCGGGACAAATAAATTCAGGGCGGCAGGACAGGGTAATTGGAGGTGCTAGCAATAGGGCCTCCCCAAATGCAGCCAGGTGTGAGGGTAGAGAGAAGTTCCAGCCCTCCTCCCCCAGGTGATTTATCTCTCATTCTTCCAGGCCCTGGGAGTGACTCATAGCTTTCAGCCACTTGGGCACCCAGCCCGATGCTTTTAATTATGTGGCAGTGGTGGGAGGAATCAAGGAAGGGAGAAGGAGGAGAGGGAAATTGATAAGAGGGGTTAAGGGAGGGGTAACGTCAAGCTGGCTTGTGGCCCCCACTTCAGGGACCTCTCCGCTAAAGCTCTTTAGCCACACAGATGACAGTAAGCGGGGCAGAGGAGTAGTGAGCGGGTGAAAGGTGCCAAGCTCAGGCGCTTTATCTCGTTAGCAGCCTTAAATGCCATGCCGACGTTCCCTCCGATCTGTCATTCCAGCTATTGGTCTCTGAGGGATTTGAGAGGTGCTCAGCGAGTTAAGAGAGACATTTCCACCCTGCATTATGCTTAATGGGAGGTGGAGAGGCCAGCAGGCTTATGGATACAGCAGGAGCTATGAGGACTGAAATGCCAATAGAGAAAACATTTTTCATATTACAAGTTCACTCAGACAAACTGAGCTAACCAATGCTGGCCAACAAAGTTAAGCAGAGGGGAAAAGACAATGAGCTTCATGAATAAAAAGGCCTGTACTGAGTGAACCCACTATTCCAATTTAGGTTCATCTCAAAGAGCATGAGCAAGAATAATGATCCCTATTGTGTTTTACAGCTTTGGACCTTTTTTGACATTAATATCAGAAACGTACAAGTTAGTAAAAATATTTTTTCACAATATGGGTTTGAATTGGGATTGCTTTCCAAGGACGCAACTCAAACGGTCTGGCTACCTCTCAGATCTGTGTGTCTTGGCATAATTGACTGTACAAATGGGAAAAAGAGTGCACAGTTTGGAAGGCGCTTATGCTGTTGCAAATCCGGGTTACGCACAAAGTAACGGATGTTATTTAATGAAGATTTTAAAAAGGAGCTTCAAAATATGTTCAGTGTCCAGCTGGCTACCTAGCCAACTGCTGTGCAAAATGGCCAGGATTGTTTGAGTATCTGTTTCATAAATCTACACAAATGATAAGAAAGGGGTGTCAGAAGTTGTTACGGAAGGGTGCCTGCCAGCCTCATGGCATATGCTTCTTGCTGCATGAGATTATGATGGGTCAACTTTCTCAACTTGCCACTACAGCTGGGTGTTTAACCATGGCATCCACTGAAGCTGCAGTGAGGGAAACAATACAGAAGCTGATTATTGAGCTCCTTGGATTAAACACCTCTTCAACAGCAGGGAACAAACAGATCAATGAGGACAAATGGTACTGGGGCAACATCAGCTTCAAAGTCTGAATATCCGTTCTGGGACAATAATGATACTAGTAGCAAAACTTGCTAGTTTATAGATGTGCTATTATTACATATATATTAGTATTGTACTGCTATCCATTTCTTTGATTTTAAGCTACAACTCATGATACATGACATACTGGGTGATATGCATAGCAGCAGCTGGTTGGATCGGAGGTAGCTATGAGCCATGGCCACTGAACCCTGCTGCCGCCAATTCAAAATACAGAACACAGATTTTGGCAGGGTGGCAACAGCTCGCTATCGTAAAGCAGCCAACAGGCACTGGAGCACAAGGCCCTGACATGGTCAGAATTTTGATTCAGACTGTGTTTGGTTGTCAAAGCTCTAAATCAGCCAATGTGTCTTACAGTTACAGTAGTGATGCAGCAATTTTTCATTAAGTGGACACTGGTCAGAACAGACTGATTTACACTGAACAAGGAACAGTGTCATGACATGTCATACAACTAAAGCATGTTAGTTTGCATGTTAAAGTATTAGGAGGCTACTCAATGCAGAACATTTTATAAAGTATATCATTACATTAACAGCCTGTCCCTCATGCTCTGATGTAAAAGCAGGATTTGACTGTTGTAGCTGGTTGAGGTGGAGCTCTGCTGAACTGTTTTGTATCCAAGTGCAACTACTGATCATTTTCATTAGGGATTAACCTGCTGATTATTTTCTCCATTAATCGACTGACTGGTTTGTAAAACGTCTGACAATAGCGAGACATGCTCTAAACGATTATCATAATAGTTGTTAATTTATTGTAGGGGCGCAAGAGTGCAGCCAGACCTGACTGTGCCTTCACTGACTCAAACACACAGGCACAGAGTTTGGTGGTTTCAGCCTCCTTCTCTCTGCTATTTGTCCACTAAGTGTGTGTGCGCATGACATCCGTTACAGAGTCTGACAGGCAGTCAGGGAAAAAAGGTGCGCACACATTTTGGTTTTTCCTTCAATACCGGTTTTGTCAAAATCTGTTTCCCTGTCACGATGCATCTCCCACTGTTAAAACTGTGTTTCTAGTAGTGTCCCCTCTGTGGTTATGGTTAGGACAAGGGTAGGGTTCAGGTAAGGGGAAGCACATCTTGACAAGGGAACAGATCTCGACACAACACTGGTAATAAGCAAATGTACATGGTATGATAACTGTCAATTTTCATACCATAAAACCGGTATACCACTGCAACCCTAGACCAGTCCCAACTCAAAGTGCAAACAGAGTACTGTCACTACTGTCAACTTGTGAATGAGACAACCCAAAAATGTAGTCTATAGTGGCCTCAAAGCAAACAGACCACTGAATAAATGAGCAACGGGCACTTTCATTGCTACATAAAACTAATAATTGGATTAACACAACAATAAAGAACTCACCTCTGATTTTCTTGTGTTTCAGCTCTGTGCTCGTGCCAAAGTGGAGGAAAGTGTTAGAAGGAGTATATTAAGCTACTGACAATGTGTAAGAGGAAACATGCAGATCGACTGGGATGTATTATCACCTTTCCCAACAAGTTCCGTATTAGACCCACTACACAAAACTTGGATTGAACTACGTCTGCATCCAATGCCAGACCATTTTCACACTGAAGTCTGCCAGAAAGCAGACTTGTTTTTTTTTTCTCAAGGCACAACTCTCTCTCTCTCTCTCTCTCTCTTTCTCTCTTCTTCTCTCTCTCTCTCTCTCTCTCTCTCTCTCTCTCTCTCTCTCTCCATTCTTTTTCTTGCTCTCACAGAGCTAATTATTTCTCCCCCCATTTGGAGCCAACTGTTTCTGTCATCTGTCTCTGTAATGACCTCTGCAAGATATGCATGGATGCATGCATGCACACTCTCACTTCTTCTCACACAGAGACACACAACCCACACTAACACCCAGACACACGCAGACATTCGTAGAGAAACAGTAGATGTGTACACTGCATAGATGCACATGTAACAGATCTGTTTATTAATTAGGAGGGAACTGGCTTACAGTGAGCACAGCTACTGACTAGCTGATATCAATTGATACACAGTGAACTATCATCAATTATTATAAATATCTTTAGAGTTTGGACAAAACAAGCAATCTAACAGTTCCAGTTTGGGCTGTGGGACATTGCAATGGGATTCTGCACCATGTAGTCTGCATAGTTTGTACACCTGCATTCAAAATGTCATTTAAGTAGAAAAGTAGTACTATCAAAACATACTTCAAGTACTAAAAGTAAATGTACTCATTATGCAGAATGACACATTCAACATTAATGCATATCACATTATTAGATTATGATTATTGATTGTTTCCATCACATTTGATGTTGCAACTGGTAAAGGGGGTACTAGTTTTAACCACCTTACATACTCAAAATGTGAATTACTGCTGGGTAGCTTGTGAATTTTCCACCATAGATCAAAGGTCTTATACTGTATTCATTTGGTTCTGAAAAGTAACTAGTATATAAAGTTATAAAATAAATGTAGTGGAGTAAAAAGTACAATATTTGCCTTTAAAGTGTAAAGTCAAAGTAGCACAAAATGAAAAGAAAACATGATGCTGGCTTCTGACCAAAAACAAAGCTGTCTGTTAGGGGCTTAGGTCTTAAGTGAAATTAACTGTTGAACTCCAAACACCCTTCAACAAACAGATGATCAGGAGTTTTTTTTTTAAGTTGCCCCTCCAACTTGACAATGAAAATCTTGGCATCGTCTTCATGCTCTCTTCCAGGAACTTAAGAATCATCTTTGACCTTTATTTGAATTTTGAAAAACAAGGCACTACCAGAGGTTATCTGGTCATGCTTTTAACATTGAAAAGATATTTCAAAAACAAGTCATGTCCGCCTCTAAACTAGAAAAGGTTATTCATGTCTATTTTATACTTCCTCAAACTACTGTAAATCCCATTATTCTATATTTCATTTTATACAACAGTGAACAAGAACTTGATCAGAAAGCGCCTATCCTCTTTTTTTGCCATAAGCAACAAATTGAAACCATGATTTCAGTGTAGTCCCATCTACATCTTCTCACCATTACCTTAAGTTAAGTAAAACACAAATTTGTAGGGGAGCTTTTAACTGATCACTTTTTAAATTTAAAGTCACTCCAAATGAGTCAAATATTTTCCTTAGGTTAACTACATTTGACATACATCTGTATTTTAAAAAATTCCACACCCACTGTTATAATTACTAAGTCGAGCAGATGCAGCAGATGCACAAAGCTTTGCTCCTATTATTACCAAAAGACAAATAGGTAAATCCTGGATGCAGACACAAACTTCCACTACCACTATGAAATAAACTGGTATAACCCGGGGCATCTGCCTGCTGTTTTAGAAAGCTTCCTTTCCATCCAGCTCCATATGGAAAAAGATGTCTGTCATAAAGCGTTTCTCTTACTTGGTTGTCAAATTTCAGTGACTGTGTGCCTACAAGGAAACGAATGGCATCTGTTTCAGCAGTCTGGGCAGTAAGTGCTCGTGCCTGTGTGAAGAACAGAACATGTCCAATCACATCAACACATTTTTGTTTGTTTACTAAAACATTATATGGAAATGAAGTGATATATTCATCTGTGCGTATAAGTAACACAGAGTGACACAACACAATGGATAATATAATGGAACATACAATACAACACAACATAATCGCGCTAACGTTAGCTGTCAGTCAGGCAAACAGTAGTAATGAATGGTGTGGCAGTGGATCAGCAACACGTACCTGAAATTCAAGACCATAAATGACAGGAGCGTCGTCCTCCATTTTTCAGTCTGTTATAATGGTTAGCGCTTCCTTATCTTTGTTTTTTTTAACAACGTCCACAATAATAACACTTAAAAGCCAGTGTGGCTAAGTGTTCTCTTTGACGGTACTACGAAGTGTATAAATACAACACAGTCGCTGCACTTCCGCGATTTATAAAACGAGGCAACTTAAGCGTACGATTAAAATTCGCACTGACAGTAGTGCAACATTATGTGTGCTGTCCATATACGATTAAAATTCGCTGTGACTGTAGTGCAACATTATGTGTGCTGTCCATTAAAAGTACGTAAACGAAGTCAAGAATACTAAAAAGCATAGCGGCACAAAGTTTGTCAGCTCTGGGGCACCGTACATGTAGCGTTCTTGTGGAACAGTGCATGCGTACTGCAGTTCTGTCTCTACATACACCAAAGTAAGAAAGTTGTTTTGTGTTTCTGTTGTTTAATTTATTACTTGTCTGTCATTGCATAGTGCATGGATGGCACCCTATGTGTTGTGCTTTCAATGCGTAGGCAGCTGTTAGTGAAGTATGTATTTGACATGTGTAACCAGCTGCTCAGCAAAGTTAGCTTACGATAGCCCACCGGCTAATAGCATTACCAAGATAGCTAGCTAGCAGCAAACAGACTACAATTTCCCTCTATTTCCTATCTATCTCTTTCGTGATAGGACTTTAAGCGTGAATGCTCGAGGAGAAAAGGACTCGTTTAGCTGCAGATGTGTGTTGACGATAAGAACATGTATATATTTGTGTTTGCTTATAGTTACAGGAAGTAGTTAAGACAAATGCAGGCTAGTGTTGCACAACGCAGAGAGTATTGATTAGTCGCTGTTAATATTGCATTTAAAATGTAATGTCGTTTATTGCTTTGTCAAGAGCAGTACGATGGATAGTGAGGAGGCTCCTGCCCAGCGGCCAGTCACACTGGGCATCGCAGTGGATTATGAAAACAATGAAACTCCTGCTCCAGACTCTCCGGAGCCAGCCTCAAGCCAGACTGCTCCCAGAGACAACATCCCGTCCCAGGAAGAGAGCATTGACCTGGGTGGGGAGTTTGCCACCCCCCAGGAGGACAGCAGTGCCACACCCTCAGGAAGCCTGATTGACAAGCTTAATGATCAGATGATGGAGAGTGTCATGATTTCTGACTCACCCAATAACAGTGAAGAGGAGGATGTGGCTCCCATTGACTCTTTTCTAGAGGGAGGGGTGGAGGGGAATACAGGAGAGACCTCAGGAGATAAAGAGGAACAAAGTGAAATTGGACAGAATACAACTGAGATTAAAGTTTCTGTTTCTGTAGAGGAACAGGAGAATGATGATTCTGAAGAGGAATTAGAAGGGGACACGAAGGAGCATACAGACACAGAAGAGAAAGTTACATCCTGTGTTCCACCTCAAGGTGACACACAGAGTCCATCTGATCCTAAAACTGAGGAACCTGACAGGAACCAGACAGCCAAAGGGCCTAGCCCAAAAGATGAGCCTGTGCCGGTGTGCACTATATTTAGTCAGGCCACCCAGCCAAAATCTCTGGTACCAGATGGGTTTCAGCCCACCCTTATCAAGTCTCCCAGTTTTAGCAGGGGGAGTGGTGGGGGAAGCGATGAGGCAGTGACTCCCAGCAAGCTGCCAGCCCCCCTTGTGTGCCAGCCCAGCCCTAGTCTCAGTAAGTTCTTCACTGACAATTTACAGACCAATCCGGCATCAGACTTCTTTGATTCCTTTACTGTCCCATCATCCTTCATCTCTGTTTCCAACCCCAATGCAGAGGTCCCTTCTGATGCTAACCCTGCACCCATAGCTCACACTCCTGAGCACCAGCTCTCTTCCACTTCCCCCTCCATCTCCACCTCTGGAGGACCCATGGACTCTGGTGCTCCCATTCTTAGCTCAGTCTATGGCTCTGTCCCTACTGAATCAACCACCAAGCCCCAACCTCCTCCACCTCAAACAGTCTCAGCACCAGCTCAAGCTCCTGCTCCTAGTCCTGGCCCAGCCACTCAGCCACAGCTCTTCAATCCGCTCCAGGCTGTATTTTCAGGCAGCGATGACCCATTTGCGACAGCACTGAGCCTGAGTGAGGTGGACAGGTGCCACGATGCCTGGTTACCATCTGAGGAGACCAGGAAGGTTTTGATATCTGTGGCCACCCAGCAGTACAACCTAGCCTACGTAGACCCCTGCCGACTCACCATGCCTGGACTTAAGTTTGATAACCTGCAGGTAGGACAAGCACTAAGGCAGTAAAATTCTTGTTATACAGCACATGTCTTCAGAAAGCCCAGAAAGAAAGGTCTTCTTTTACGGTATGCCTTTTTGACAGGGGCATTACTCATCATGAGTAGTATTACTAAGCCTGTTGTACAATATACTGGTGTACATTGTACAACAGTTTCATGCTGTGAAGAACTGGTCTCATGGCTACATAGAAGTGAGAGCCCCCTCTGACAAAATAATCCTGATGTTATCACATCTTGGGTTTGTAGAACACATATTTTAACAAATAAACAAAAAGCAAAACTAGAGTTTGAAAGACCTTGATCCAGCCAGACAGGGAAAGTCTAATAAAGGATGCATTGTGGGAAATTGAGGATATAGGGTGTGTAGAGGTGTGTGTTTAACTTTGACCATTCCTTAAAAAAACAGTCTCTTGTAAGGTTCTGAAATTAAATGTGAAAATGTAAGAAACATTTGGCAGAAACTCAGTATTATTCTTAATATATCATATAATGAATTGATTATTTCTATTGTTATACAGAATTGCATTGTTTAAATTGGGGAGAAAATGAAATGTTGTTTTCAATCTCTGGCAAAATGAGATCAGAAACAGAATCAGCCAGTTAATCAACAAATTGATCCGTTTTTTCAGCTGAGTGGTAATGGGTTTGGTCACAACAATCACCTCAGTCTGAATGCTCAGACACATTTTCTAGGGATGGGCGTAACGATACTTCGATACCCGCTAGTCGATATTTTGGAGTCGATACTTTTTTAAAGTATCGCGATACCACTGTGCTAATACAAAACGTGCACTTTGTTTTCACTTCTGAGAGTTTTAGATATTAAATGTATGTAGGAAAACTAGCCCGGGTGTGTTTTAGATATGTCACATGATTATGGCAGCAGCCAATCAGATGTCAAATCCGAAGGCTTATTGCGCAGCCTCAGTCAAGCACTGCCTCAATCCTTACTCTGCTGCTCAGTGAGCTCAGTCAGCCGCAGTGCTGCATGGTAGCATGGATGGCCGAGAGAGAAAAAGAAGCAAAGTGTGGTGCTATTTTTCACCCATGACCAAAGGTAATGCCATGTGCTCTGCCTGCAATAAAGTGTTGCCACATAGCAGCAACACTAGCAACCTCTTTAAGCATTTAAAGACAACGCACCATGACACTTTTAAAGAGGCTGAACATCGCCATGAAGACAACCAGCAAGCCTCAAAGTCCCCTGCACCACCTGCTGTCTGTCAGAAGACATTGCAGGAGAGTTTCATGAAAGGCAAAGAATATCCACGTACAGGTGACAGTTGATGTGTTAGAAGTGATTTAAAAATTGAACAAACCATTATTTTATTAAACTACCCCAAACTGCAACTGAGCTACTATATGAATCTTGGATGAAGCTGTGTTCACCACTCTTTCATTTAGTTGACAAACGTAAAGGTTCGTATGCTTGTATTGTATGCATCAGAAAATACTGACAAACAGTTTTGTTTCTAGAATGTTATTAATGGAAGTAAATTTCCTTTAAGAGGCAAAAAGTATCGGTAACGGTATTGATGGAAAAAGTACCATAAACGAATGGTATCGTATCGACAGGAAAAATGTTGGTATCGCCCATCCCTAACATTTTCTATGAAAAACTGCTAGCACCCTTACAGTGTGATTTTTGTCATTTTTGGGGCACATTTTGACCATCATTCCAAAAATATTGCAGAAATATCTTGAAAACATTGTCTTCACATGTTTCCTGACCTATAATGACAAGAGACTTATTAGCTGTATGTATTACTTTTGAACAGTCTACAGTGTTTTGTTTTGTTTTTTTGTCAGTCACAGAATGGCGTGCACCCACATTGTTGCTTCTGAGACACCATATCATGTTTTCCTTTTTTTCGTAGTCACTGTCTGAGCTCCTTTAGCAGCAATATTTATCCATAATAACCATTTACAACAATAGTTTACAGATTTATTCAGCTGAATCTTATGGTGTGAATCCACATCCCAGTTCAGATTGCGTTTATTATCCCCTCAGAATGTGTTTGAATGCCTGCTTGAATAAATGAATAAAAATCAAGGATTTTCCCATCATTTTGGTGTTCTTGGGCCCTGTAGCACTTAGCAGTTATGTTTTCCTTATAAAAAAAAAACATAGAAAATTGAATTCAGTTTTCTGAAAAAAAAAAAACAATTGTTTCTCTGATCAATGTTTAATTAAGATCTTGTGTGTATTTTTTCCAATTGCTGTCTTTAGAATGTTGAACAGAAAAGTAGAAAATCAGTGTTTTATTTTTATTCATGCCTTGGGTTGCGTGGGAGGGCAGGATCTAAGCATCTGGCTCGGCTTGGCATTCAAAAAGGCAAAGGAGAGAGACTGGAGGAATAATTTCACTCTGTGCTCAAACTGAAACTCTTACCCTAAAAGTAGTTTCATGTCTTGAAGTCTACACAGACCTAAACTTTAAACTGAACATAGTCTTCCAGATGTTATGGCAGTTGTTTTCAATACATGCCCAAGAATGGGATCATCATTCCAACTATGTGTAACTGCACTGATGCCAATTTCCTGTCAGTCTCTACCAACATGACACACTGTTTGTCAAACACAGTGAGATGAGCTTGAGGATGGACAAATCTTTATTGAAACATGGTTATAAAGACAGTTGAAACACTGAGTGGTTGTTGTGGATGAGTAGAGGGTGTGCAGCTGCAAACATTTGGATTTACAAGAAAGAACACAGCAGATGTTTTCAAAAGCAAATATCATACCTCAGCTGCTGGAGAATTTATCCAAACTCATTTATACATTTAGCAGTACTTCCAAGTGCATTAGGCGACTTTTATGGAGACTGTAGTGGCTTCAGTAGTGATCTGGACCGGGAGTGTTTACTAGGTATGAAAATGCATTTTGTCAGTCAATTCACATCATTTTCTTTACGTGGCGTTATTGTACACAGAGCAACTTAGGAGCAACAGTAACCCTGTCTCCCCGCCACTCTCCTAGTTTAGAGACCAGTGCAGAGTACCTGTAGTGCCATTAACCTGTCCTGATATGATTGTGGTTAGTATTCATGCTCTGATTTTAAACACCAGCATGACAATTCTCATTTGTATAGTTTTGTTTTTTTATTCTTGCCTGATGTTGAAAATGTGTTCTGATGCAGGGTGATGCTGTGAAAGACTTGATGCTCCGTTTCCTGGGGGAGCAGGCAGCCATGAAGCGCCAGGTGCTCACCGCCAGCTCTGTGGAGCAGTCCTTCACAGGCCTCAAGCAGCTAATCGTAGGTCACTCGCTGTACTTTCTGTGCATGACTCATTTGTAAATGGTCACTTCTGAGGTTACTGTGCGATGAAAACCTGGCATAAAGAAGGAATTGGTGCCTTTATAACGTTGTATAGTCATCACTGTAGCTTTGTTGCTCATTTATTTGTTTTGTCTTGGTGTGATTTGTATGATTTACATGAGAGTTTGTTTTGGAAACACCTGTTAAAACAAGATAGCAGAGACAGGTAGGTCACACCTGCTGATATTAAGTGTGTTGGCTGTAATTGAAATGCTTATTATGAACCACAGTTTTAGTATGAGTCACTGTGAACTATTGCGGTGATGGATCTCGTTTGTCTTTCTGCGTGAAGAATGCAAGCTCTTTAGCCACAGAAAACAAACTGCAGCTCTGTAAACTTTGCTTTACCCGAACCAATATAACGCAAAGAACAAAAAGCAGAGGAGAATGATATATAACCACTGCAGAACTGAAATGTTATTGAGACCTCTATGCCTTTTAGTTTCTGGCAACATTCACCAATGCCCAGGAGTATTTACACCTGTTAACCAGACTCGGCAGGCTCTCTCTCACTCTCAAACACACAACGTTCAAAGTAGTGTTCCAGTTTTACACCTTCTCAAAGACACCACCTTGTCCAATTTATGTTCAGCTACCTCCTCAATTTAACCAGAAAGAGAGACACACACTTGCTTTTTGCCACAGGGCTTGGGGAATTATGTGTTGGGTGACAAGTGGCCCTTATTGCAGCAGCAGTGGCTGCTGGCTAGCAAGCCATGGTTCCCACCAGGGAATGGGATGCACTCAGAAAACCTTCTGGAGCCAGTGACTGTGGATTGTACCCCAAATGAGGACATGTCCAACACACTCTTCCATAGGCATATAGATATAAAGTTTTTAGAAAGAACTGGGCTGAGCATGGTGGACTGTGTGCAGTGGCCCTGTGATAATGAACTCCATTGTATTGCCTTAACATTGACTTCAGATGTCATAAAACATTGGAGTTTACTAGCCGACCTCTTTATTTAAGCAGCTTAAAGCCCTCCTAAGGAAATTTAAATTTGAATTCGATATGGAAGTCATTATATTAGACAAAGACAGGAAGGTTTTAAAGCAGGACTGTTGGCTTGACTTTTGTAATAATGTTGACTATCTGCAAAACTGAAAGTATTCATATATAAGGAGGTACCACAAGCACATACAGTAACAAAACATTTTGACGGGTCTTAGTATAAAAGGTATAAAGTATCAGTCTAGTGCATATGCAGCAGAGCAGGTACTTATTAATGCCAGTACCTAGCATTTTCTATAGGTGTTTGACAGAACCACTAGTACTGTAACAAGAGCTAAACATCCTCTGGCATTTTCAGCCTGTTGGACCTTTTAACAGTCAGCCTGTAAAGTTGGTGATTCCACTGAAACTGCTAGGTTTTCTGGCTTTAGCTTACTGAGGGCAGTGACTCTGTCAGTTTGTTTCGCATTAGATTTCTTCCTCTGCATGTCTTTCTTTGTGACCATACAGTCTCAACTCATTCTCTTTCCTGCTGCCATCTGTCTGTCTCTTCAGCCTTTGTGCCTCCCCTCCATCATAATTTCTGACCAGCAAATGACCCTGAGAGACAGTTGTTATTTAAAACATATGCACATCAGCAGCACACAGTGTGATGGAGAGAGAAGAGGAGAGGAGAGGAGAAGGGGAGGGGTGAAGTGGAGAGATGTGGAGGTGGAGATTCACTTGGCTCACAAGTTCTTTTCTCCTGCTGTGCCCATGTATTATGCATGGGACTGCTGTGCATATTTCAAGGGCCTTCTGGACTCAGTGTACACACGCATAAGATACAACGAGGTACTTTCAGCTTGTAGTCAAGTCCCTATACGTTATGTGGTGTAGGTGGGTTTATGTGTATGTAAGAAGATAATACACTGTCTGCCAATTGGTGTGGGTGGCTCCCTGGAGCAAGAGGCAAAACAAGGAGAGAGAAAGAGAGTCAGGAAGGTAATGCAGACCTACAGGAGAGATGTCAACAAATGACAAGCCAAGACAGAAAAAGAAAGCAGTGTTGTATGCAGGCAGAAGAGGACATCAACTGGTCCTGTGGACACACAGGCGGGTTTCTGGCTGTGTGTGTATGCAGAGCTACTGGGTGTGGGAACCTCTAGACACCTCAGGACTGGATTTGTTAAAGGAATTTAAAGCTGAAACTTGTAACTAAAGATGTAACTTTCTATTTTCAAATATGTTTGTTGTAGAAATCTGTCTTAATGCGGAGAGATGCAGTCGAAGCCTCCTGTGACCCGGACTCATTGACTAGCACTGGCAGCAGTTCAGAGATATTAGTTTCTAAAAGGTTTGAGCAGGATTACCCTCTCTAACCAATCAGAAATTTCCAATTATTTCTGCTTGGTCAGTAAGTTTTGTTTCATTCTCATTTATTATAATTTCATAAGGATAAATATCTGAAGAGCTGGGCAGAGCTTGGTGGACCGTAGCAGAGCATAGTAGAGCAGAGTGGATCATTTTAAATATAAACCTAATGACACAGAAATCTTGACAGAAACAAGATTCTGAGTCAGTAGAAATCCATATTTATCTTAATGCCACTCCACCTGAATTCCTTAGTGAATCCATTAGTTCAGAGTCCTTTGTATTTTTATTTTTTCCGTCACTGATCTTTGGCAGTCAAACTTAATATGAGGTTGCGACGTGATTTGCTTTTCCATGTTGGGCAAAGCTGTTTGACATTTACTCAGAGGCCCTCCACTTGGCAGCAACAGCAGCCTGCTATTTCTGCCACAGGTGAAAATGTTAAGTGTGGTTTTGCTTCTATGCATTGGTGTTTCTGATATACTTAGTGGCACAGCTTGCATACCCATATATTGTAGGTCTTACCAAGGACCGTTTCAGTGTTGGCCAGTTACAGCTTAGAAAAAAAAACTGGCCAATGATGTCTGAAAAACACTGCAAATTGAGGTATTGTCCTTAAATGACCTAAAATATATCCTTGGCACTTATGCACTGTAGTGTTCTTTTTTCCTGTTTGCTGGCATACAAATTGGTATATCTACAATAAGCCAGTGTCCAAAGATGGCCTATATCAGCCAGGCTGATGTGTTGGTCTAACCCCACTTCAGCATGTTGTTAGGGCAAACGATGCAGGTCGTATGTCTCTCCCATAGTCTGACCAAAGCTTACTTGTTTACACATCATCAATTAACTTTCTCCTTTTCCACTGAACTGCAGTGGACTTGGTTGGTTTCTGCCCTGATGCAGAATCATGTCTGCCAGTTTTTTTTTTTTCATCTAATCAATAAATTGTTTTGTCTATGAAGCCCTAGCATTGAACAATAATCAGAGAAAGAAAAACAGACTCTTCACATTTTGAGAAGCTGGAACCAGAAGATGGTGGATATCTCATCTTGGAAATGAAATGACTCTTAGCAGTTGCTGATCAGTTTTCTGCCAGACAACTAATCAATTAATCATTGCAGCTTGGCATCTAAGAATAACTTTTTTCCATCACCCATTCTGCAAAAAAGGCAACATTTGTCATTTTTTCACTGTACTTTTCTATGCTGAGGTTTTCTGCAGGTCTTTAAAAAGTCTAAATTCCAATAATCTGAATTTTAGGCTTTAAAAAGATTTATATCTGATCTTGTCAGGTCTCATAAAATTATTGATCATGCTTAGGTTAAGTTGACTATTTTACAGTTAAATAACCCAGATTTTGGTTTTAATTAAACTTCTGAATGATCATTAATTATTCTTTTGTGTTTTGTTAAAAAAAAAAAACGGTTCTCATTACTAAATAAGATTAGTTTTTTGCCTGCAATGATCATGTTAAGCAGCATTAGCTTAGCTTAAGCTTAAGTTTCTGTAGGGGCAGGGCCTTTTCTTAAAACAGAATATTAGCATACTTCCCAGCATGCATTGCTGGAAAGTTGAAGCACTTCAGAAACATTACATTACATTTGTATTTTGAAGAGCCCATTTATGGAAACTTCGTCTGTGTCTCTAAGAAAGGCTATATTATATAAAGTCATAGTTGTTTCTTTTTATTATAATGAAAAACACTGCAAACCATGATGGTTAGTAGTTATTTTAGTCCCTACTCTTTACACACGCTGTGTTGTTAATCAGAGTCACTTGGTGTAGTTTTGTATGTTTTTGTACTGATTTTGGCACCAATGTATCCACAACCTGCAGTTGTTAAGCTTTTCATGTCAAATGAGGGACTGATTGTTAAAACTGAAAAAGAGAAAAGGATCATCTGTTTTCATTGAGTGTCCATGTGATCAAACGTGAGTCATTTTAGAATTTCAGATTCATTCAAATGAATTGCTGTAGATTTATAAACTATGAATGTTAACTCATGTTTTTGAATGAAGACTACTAATGTAAGCTTGATTTAAGATTCTGTGTTAATGTAACCTGTTTAGTTTCACCTTGTGTAAAAACAAACCGTTTTAAGGCAGTGGCTTTCCACATGATTTTATAGTAAGTTCAACTAAATGGGGCTAAGAGCGCGTTAGCCTACATCTATAACTTGAGTCGTACTTGTATTTGATTTGGGGAAAATGTTTCGCTGACACAGTAGTCCCGCCTGTGGTACATCATTTCCATGTTGTAGTTCTTTCTCTCATCAGTTCGTATTTAACACACTGTTACAAAACTACAAAACCGAACCAGAACATTTGCAAACTTTGCAGCCAGGTCAGAATTGATCAGAGAACACTCAGCGAGCATGTTACGATAACCTTGCACCACATGTCTTTCATAAGTGGTTTTTGTTTTTTCATCTGCTTATTATGGGAAGTGCAAGATTATGGAGACCTAAACTGAAAGTACTTTTCGTTGTTAGTTGAAGCCTGAAAAACACAACAAATTACATCTCTGCCATAACGTTTGAAGGCGCACTTTCCACATTTGGAGTGCTATTTAGTTTGCAAGGCAGCATTTGAGAGTATGCAGACAGGTTTGTAAGAGCAGAAACGTATTT